GGTAGGAGGGTGGCGTGGGTGGGGGTATGGCAGGGCGTGCCACAGAGCGTGCTGAAGCATGTTGCTGCCTTTTGGCCCAGCCCTTGCTGACCCCCCACTGCCCTTCAGTCAGCCGGAGCCCACCCTCCAACCTGACCCTGGCTTCTGAGTCACCAAACAGCCTACGGGTCAGCTGGACGCCCCCCACTGGCCACGTCCTCCACTACCGGCTCACGTACATGCTGGCCTCAGGCTCCGGACCAGAGAAATCAGTGAGTCTTGGTGGATCAGGGAGCCATTGCCCCTCGTGGGCCTGGGGCCTGGTGGCCGGGGGAGGCGTGGCCACCTGTCTGCCGCGTGCTTCCGCGGCGAGACACAGACGAAGGAGCGGAGGTGCCTAAGCGAGCAGAGGCGCTTCAGCGGCTGTCCCCCCAGGTCTCTGTTCCAGGACCCAGGAGCCATGCGATGCTCCCTGACCTGCTGGCAGCCACCACGTACAGGGTCCTGGTCTCAGCAGTGTACGGAGCAGGAGAGAGTGTGGCAGTGACTGCCACAGGCCAAACGGGTGAGTGGGCATGAAACCCCAGGCCCCAGGCAGCCCTCAGCGCCCAGAACTGTGGGGCCACTCAACCGGGGCCCTCCCGCCGGCGGTAGGCCCTGTCGCTGCCAGCACACGGCCCGCGCTGCTGTCGAGCAGAAGGGAATCGGGTTTTTGCGTGAAGACTTCGCTGTAGAGACAGCTGAGACCAGCAAAGCTCCCGCTGGTTGGCCAGGCCCCTTGTCCGCAAGGCCCAAAGCTGGGGACCATGTCCTTGCCCTCTATCTGTGCCAAGGTCAGGGCAGCCGTGCAGCCCACAGGGCCGCTTGCAGACAGGCAGGCGGGCGGGCGCACAGGCCATGGCAGATGACCAGGAGAGGGGCCCAGCACCTGGCCGTGGTGTCAGTGTTCCCGGGCCCTGACCCTGCAGGCCAGGCCCACGCGGAGGGACCACTGTGCTGTCTGTGCTGGTGCTGTGGACAGGCCCAGATGCTGGGAGCCGAAGGCCCTCAGGCGCCAGCCAGCCTGGTCACCTCAGCTTCCCTGTGTCCCCTCCATGGTCCTGTAGTTTTGGCTTGAATGCCTCTAGGGTCGGGGGCCTCACTGCTCAGTGGACAGCTGCTGCACTCAGTGCCCTTCACGCCCCAGAACACCCTGAGCGCCTGGCGGTGGACCACGCCTGCACAGCCCTGGACGGCGTGCGTCCCGGGGGGCGTGTCCACACACCCTGGCATCTCCCTGGCCCTGCCATTTGGGACACATCGGGGTGGCCGATACCCTGTCAGTGGAAGCACCATGGGGAGTGCTGCCTTCCAGGGGTGGAAGTAAAGACCCTGCGATGATGGGACACCACCCCATCCCTCCCCGTCCCTGAGGCACGGGGGCAACAGGTCCAAGGACCTGCGAGAGGGGAGGCAGCAGTTGGGCTCCAGCCCATCTCCAGCCGCAGGAGGCCCACTGCCCAGGGGCTCCTCCCCGCTGACCCTGACCTTCTGTCGCCTCTCAGCAGCCTGCCCAGCCCTCCACCCAGATGGCTCCCTTGCAGGTGGGTCCTGTCCTGAGACAGGTGCTCTCGCTCCCCACCCCCACCTGTCCCCCCTCCTCTCGGGCCCCTAGGAAAGGGCCTGGGGACAGTACAGGGCATCAGGCAGGCAGGCTCACACCTTTACAGGAGGCACCTCAAGGTTCACAGTCTAGGTTACTGAGGCTTGTGCAAGGTCACTGTCCAAGGCAGGGGTGGGCAAACTTTTTGACTCGAGAGCCACAATGGGTTCTTAAACTGGACCGGAGGGCCGGAACAAAAGCATGGATGGAGTGTTTGTGTGAACTAATATAAATTCAAAGTAAACATCATTACATCAAAGGGTACGGTCTTTTTTTTTTTTTTAGTTTTATTCATTTCAAACGGGCCGGATCCGGCCCGCGGGCCGTAGTTTGCCCACGGCTGGGCCAGGCGGCTCTGCCGAGCGGGGTGGTGAGGTGGTGTCAGCAGGGTACAGGGAGGGGAGCCCATCCTGTCCTGATGGCTGAGTCTCTCTGGGGTCTCCCGAGAGTGAGCAATGAGGCTGCGCCGTTCAGACCCTGAAGCAGGGCAGGCCCACCTGTGACCGGAAGTGGGGCCAGGCGGGCTGTCACTCCTGTCTGCTCCCACCCGGGCGCTGAGCACCCAGCGGGGTGAGCTGCACGCTCACTTGGTACGCTCAGCACTGGAGGAGTGGCAGGTGCTCTGAGTGGCTAAGTCCGGTGGGTGGTGAGACTGCTGGGCATCCGTGACTGCGGGCCGGGTCAGACAGCGCCCCGGGGCGGCCGAGTCAGCAGCAGGAGGAAGGTGGGCACACCCCATTTTGGCGCTGAGCTCTCGGCCTTGGGTGTCCTCTATGGCTCCCTGCCCTGCACCCTGACACCTGCTTTTCTTTCTCTTCGCCTCCCACCTGTCTGTCCCTGGGTCTCCACCGTGGCCCTGCAGGCTTTGACCTCATGGCGGCCTTTGGGCTTGTGGAGCGGGAGTATGCCTCCATCCGCGGGGTGGCCATGGAGCCCTCTGCGTTTGGCTCGACCAGGACCTTCACACTCTTCAGGGACGCTCAGCTGACACGCCGAGCCAGGTGGGCGAGCAGGCGGTGGGCTGAGACCTGGGTGTGGGCACAGCATCGTGACACTGGCTGGGATGGAACGGCCTTGGGTCCTGGGCGGGGCAGAGCCTCGCCCTCAGAGCGCCTCTGGTTGAATCTCCCCACAGCCCCGGAGGGAGTTCTGTCCCTTACACCCTGTTATGCGTGGGGAAACTGAGGCAGGAGAGATCTTGGTCCCATGGGTCTGGGCCCTCGGGAATAGCTGTGGCCCCTCCAGACCCCATCCCTCTCAGGCCTGTGGTGACCCCAACCTGTGCCCCAACAGCGACATCCACCCGGCCGCCCTCCCGCCTGAGCACACAGTCGTCTTCCTCCTGCGCCTCCTCCCCGAAACGCCCCGCGAGGCCTTTGCGCTGTGGCAGATGACAGCCGAGGACTTCCGACCTGTCCTCGGGGTCCTGCTGGACGGTCAGTTGGGAGGGCGAGCGGGGCGGGGGGGCAGGCTGTCCCTAGAAGCCTCGCCGGCTGATGACCCTGAGCAGATCCTCCAGACTAGGCCGAGGGCGCTGATGCCCATCAGGAGGCAGGGCTGCTTTCCACACTGGCCTTGGCCCCCTCCGCCCCCCGCGTGGGTGGGTGGGGTCTCACTCGCTCCTCACCCTGCCCCGTAGCAGGCAGAAAGTCCCTGACCTACTTCAGCCACGACCCCAGGGCGGCCTTGCAGGAGGTGACCTTTGACCTGCCTGAAGTGAGGAGGATATTCTTCGGGAGCTTCCACAAGGTCCTGGAAGGTTCCAGATAGACCAAAGCCTGTGCCTCACCTGCCTGAGAGCCTCCAATGCCCCCCATGTTCTGGAACAGACTCCCCTGGGCTGTGCAGGATGTGCCCCACCCCCAGCAGCAGCCTTCGTGGCCACGCTGGAGCTCTCCTTGCTGGGGGCCACCTTGGCCCGTCCGGCCTCTGCCCCTGCGGTCCCCTCCGCCCCAGCATCCTGTGGGGCCCCATCCTTAATTTGGGTTGAAGAGCATCCCAGCCCTTTTCTCTGCTCCTGCAAATCCTAGAAGGGCCCAAACGGGTGCATTTCGTCCATTTCACAGAGGGGAAACTGAGGCCAGGAGGGGTGGGGAACCAGAGACTTGGGGTGGGGTGGGGTGGGGCCCCCAGTGATGGGTACTTCCTCCCACCTGGCCAGGGCTGTGGGGAAACTCTGTGGTGTCTCGCAGGTGCACGTGGCCGTGGGACACTCCAAGGTCCAGCTCTACGTGGACTGTAGGAAGGTGGCCGAGAGGCCCATCGGGGAGGCGGGCAGCCCTCCCGCCACCGGCTTCATCACGCTGGGGAAGCTGGCCAAGGCCCGGGGCCCCCGGAGCAGCTCGGCTGCGGTGAGCCTCGGCTTCGTCCTGCCTGGCCACTCAGGGGCCGGCAGATCCCCAGCCCCTCCTGCCTGAGCCACATCTGGCCAACCGAGCTCCTGCCCTGACTTGTAGCTGCAGCTCCAGATGCTGCAGATCGTGTGCAGTGACACCTGGGCGGAGGAGGACAGGTGCTGCGAGCTCCCTGCGTCGGTAGGTGGGCAAGTGCCACAGGGTCTGGGGGTAGGCTGGCTGTCCCGGTCATCGTGGTGCTGGGAGAGATCTGGGCAGGCTTCCTGAAGGAGGTGGCTTCTGGGGAGCATCTTGGAGGCCCTGGGGACAAAGCAGGCTGGAGCTGGCCAGGAAGGTCCCAGCTGCAGGGTGGTCAAAACCCAGCACTCAGGGCCACGCCCCTTTTCTGTGACTTCCCCATGGCCATGCTGGGGCCTGCGGGGCAGTGAGAGAGGGTGTCCTGCCCCGGGGTGTGTGCTGGGCAGCCTGGGGTCAGCCCCCAGGATCAGGTCCCCTCCCCTCCCCCCCAGCCTCCCAGGTGTCAGACAAGATCTGGGAGAGGGTCCATTTAACGATGGGTCTCCTTTCTTCTAGAAGAACAGAGAGACCTGCCCTGCCTTCCCTCCCGCCTGCACCTGCTCCTCGCAGATACCTGGGCCCCCGGGACCCCAAGGGCCTCCAGTGAGTCCAGCGGCCCCTCCCCGGCAACATCTGCTGCCACTGGCAGATGAAGGTGGCTCCTGCCGCGCCCCTTAGCTGGGAGCCTGGACCGAGCAGCCTTCCCCAGGCCTGCCGCACCCTGAAATGCACTGTACACGGCTCCCTGCTGCCTGTCACCCCCAACCCATGGGGCCCCTCCTGGCAAGCCCCTTCCTTCCCCTGGCCCCTCTTCCCAGCCAACCCCCCCTCCTCTGGTGTGGGACCTAGCATGTCCCATCTTTCCTGACTGGGGTGGAGTTCCAGGACCATCCTGCCTGCAGCAGGGTCGTGACTCCCACCTGGGGCAGGTCCAGCCCCTCTGCACCCCCTGAGGGAGGCTCCAGGGCCGGCTGCAGTGGGAAGGCAGGTCTGTGAGCACTGGCTCTGTGCTCTTGGTGCAGCCCTCCCCAGAGAGGCCGCCTGCCCCGAGGCTGCACAGTGGCCAGCGGCATGGAGGCCGCACCGGAAGCCCCTTCCCTTTACCCGAGGGCAGGACTGGAACCCAGGGCCATGCTGGGCTCAGCCCTGCCTATGCCCCTGCAGGGCCTCCCTGGCAGGAATGGAGCCTCAGGACAGCAGGGCTTCCCAGGACCCAGGGTAAGTCCTGGGGAGTCCTGGGGGGGCCTGGATCCTACCTTCCTGGGGAGGACCCCCAGCACATTCACAAGAGCACAGGGGGGAGCCCACGTGGTCCACCAGCCAGGGGGCTCCCCCCAGGAACGAGGTGCCTCCCCAGGAGGGCCCAGCTCCCCACCGCACCGCGGGTCTGTCATCCAGGGTCTTGGCGGTCAGTGTGACAGGGAAGGTGGCCCACATTGTACGCGGCTTGGGAGTGACTGTTTTATGAAAATGGCGCGTCCCTGGGGTCGCTGGTTTGCTGATTTTCACACTCACACTCACAGAAAATTTGTTTTTTTCTTCATGGAGTTTGGTGCATTGATATGCTTAATTCACAAAAAATGATTTCAAAGCATTTTTCCATGCAGTCTCAGTTTAAATAGTGTTGGTGTCGTCTGCCCCTTAGAGGTTTGGTTTACGGTGTAGTGAGGTGACCTGGTGTTTGGGGTTTCTTTACTCCCCATCTCTGGGACCTGGAGAGGCGGCCCAGGCCCAGTTCCTGGCTCTGGAGTAGGGTCGCAGCAGGAACCCCCCAGGGGTGGCCGTGGGTTGAAGACCTCTGTGAACCTGGTCTGGATGCCACAGGCCGGCTAGAGGCAGGGTGCTACAGGACTGGGGGAAGGGGGGGACTGCAGGAGCGGCCTGGTGCCTTCTCAACCCCCCCCCCCCCACCCGTGTCTCCAGGGAGAGCCCGGGCCACCTGGACAGACCGGACCCAGAGGTCCTGGAGGTCATCAGGGGTCACCAGGGACCCAGGGTCGAACTGTCCAGGGACCTGTGGTAGGTGTTGCCTCCCTTCCCTCCTCCACTGCCATTCGCCCTGGGGCTCAGTCTATATTTCCCCTCCAGGGTCCACCAGGGGTCAAAGGAGAGAAGGGGGACCATGGACTCCCGGGCCTGCAGGTAGTGGGCGGGAGGGTCTCGGGGACAGGGCCTGCTCTGGGTCCGACTTGGCCCCAGCCTCGCCAGCACCTCTGCTCTCTTCCAGGGCGACCCCGGCCACCAGGGCGACCCCGGGGAGGCGGGCCTCCAGGGTCCGAAGGTGGGAGAGAGGCCCGCTGGGGAGGGTTTCGAGATGGAGGCTGTAGGGTGGGGTTTCCCCTCTCTCTCACCCCACTCCCATCCATCCTGCCCCCACCCGTGGCCTGGCCAGGGGGGAGGGGAATGCCAGCCCATGCAGGGTGGGGTCAGGCCCTGAACTTGGCCGGCTCACTGCTCTCAAAGTGAGGCACAGGGGTGCACCCCTTCCCAGGTGTGGGCTGCCATGGGAGGAATGTGTGGGGTCTGAGCCCCCCTCCAACCCGCCCTTCCTTGGCCATCAGGGCATGAGAGGCCTGGAGGGCACCGCTGGCCTGCCCGGACCCCCTGGACCTAGGGTAGGCACCACCTCCCCCGTGAGCCCAACCCTGCCCATCCCTACCCACACCCCCTGAGGTTCCTTGGGGCTGAACTGAGCGTGGTCACCCCCACAAGGTGACCTGCGAGTCCTCACTCTGCTGGGCCAGCCCTTCCTGGGCCCTGCCGGGCATGCAGTGTCCTGTGCCCTGGAGGGCTGCTGGAGAGGGGCTTTCTCACCCCGCTGGGCAGCCCCAGTCACGCCTGCACCCCAATTCCACATCGCAGGGAGATGCCAGGGCTCCCGGTGGGCCTGGCTGGGCATGCGGCCCCAGGCCCTTCTCCCTGCCTACTGGAGGGCTGGGGACCCTCCTCACTCAGAAGCACCTTCCCTCCCAAGCTGGCCATTCCTGGGGTCCCTGCTGAGCTCAGTGCCTGGGAGCTGCTCTGAGCAGGGGTCCTGGGCTGCGTGCCCAAGCTGCCCATCGGGGTGGACGTGAGGCACGGCCTGCAGGAACAACAGGCCTGTGGAGCTGGGGACAAGCCATGGGGTCTGGTCTGGGTTCAGGACAGTGGGGACCGAATGACCAGGCCAGGGCTAGAGGGAGGAGGGGCCAGACTCGCTGGGGGCTGCAGTCTGCGACCTCTGCGTCTCAGCAGGGCTACCCGGGCATGGCGGGAGCCAGGGGGACCAGTGGGGAGCGAGGACCCCCAGGGACTGTGGGGCCCACGGTAAGTCCTCTCCACACCTGGACAGCCCAACAGACGGTGGGGGGAGGGGCACACATGTGCAAAGTCAGCGTCGCTGATGCTCAGGGGCATCCTGCGCCCACACATGTGTGAAGTGAGGCCTGTGCAGGCAGTGACACTGGGGCTGGTCTGCAGCAGGGAAAGTGGGGGGACCCTGCCAGGCCCAAGACAGGCAGGTGGGGGGCAGGTGATAGGCCTGTGGGCTCCAGGGGGCGGGGAGGGATGGGGTCCCAGCAGGTTCCTGGAAGCCAGGAAGATGGAGGCAGGGGCGGCAGGCGAGCAGGGACAGGGATGTGCTGTGTGCAGGCCTGGCTGGCTCAGGCCGCGGGGGCTGTACTGGGGGTGGGGGGTCCCAGCCGTGGGCACGGAACCCATCTGAGAGGCAGGTCTTTTGCCCGCTGGGGATTCATGCCTCCGAGCCTCCAAGGAGCAGAAATTGTGCCCACCCTGTGGAGGCTTGAATGCCTGGTCTCCCTCCCCAGGGACCGAGCCCCAGGCTGCAAGGGGTCAGGGCTGCCGGGGTCAGGAGGGGGAGGGAGAGGCCAGCCCGGGCTCCTCCCTGCTTACTTCCCTCTCCTTTTCCTCTGACTCAGGGTCTGCCCGGGCCCAAGGGGGAGCGAGGAGAGAAGGTAAGTGTGCCAGTGTTGGGGGCCCAGGCACTTCCTGTGCATGGGGACAACAGCGCCACCCTGCCCTGGCCGGCAGCCTGGTCACTACGCTGTGGCCCGTCTTCCTCATAGGGCGAGCCACAGTCCTGGGCCGCCATCTACCAGCTTGTGAGCCAGGCCTGCGAGTCCATCATCCAGAGTGAGGACCCCGAGCCTCCAGTGCCCCCGCAGGCCCTGCCCCCCACCGGCCCTGCCTCTGTCCCCACCCAATCTCAGCGCCCTCTGTCCCCACCCAATTTCAGCGCCCTCTGTCCCCACCCAATCTCAGCGCCGGCCCTGTCTCTGTCCCCACCCAATCTCAGCGACCAGCCTGGCCTGGCCACTCTTCTGGGCAGGCTCCAGGGAGCCCTGGGGAGGCAGGGGGCTTCCACACCCCCACAGCCCGCTCATCCCCCTGCCCCCCCCTCCGCAGCGCATGTGCGGAAGTTGGACTCCTTCCCCCACAAGAGTGCCCGGCCCCCCATGCCCATCTTGGAGGCCCCTGGGCTCCCTGGAGAAGGGGGAAATGGTGGTTCCCGCCCTGAGGACAGAGGTACTGGCTCCCCCTCCCCCAGTGTCCTGGGGCTGGCTGGGTGGGGAGACACAGGACCTGCCTGGCTTCCTGGAGTCCTCAAAGCGGCCCCTCCCCCATTCTCCCAGGAAGTCTGAGCTCAGGGCCACCGCTGCCCTTCCATCCCCTCTCCTTCTCTCCTGCGTCTGTCCCCACCCAATCTCAGCGCCCTCTGTCCCCACCCAATCTCAGCGCCCTCTGTCCCCACCCAATCTCAGCGCCCTCTGTCCCCACCCAATCTCAGCGCCCTCTGTCCCCACCCAATCTCAGCGCCCTCTGTCCCCACCCAATCTCAGCGCCCTCTGTCCCCACCCAATCTCAGCGCCCTCTGTCCCCACCCAATCTCAGCGCCCTCTGTCCCCACCCAATCTCAGCGCCCTCTGTCCCCACCCAATCTCAGCGCCCTCTGTCCCCACCCAATCTCAGCGCCCTCTGTCCCCACCCAATCTCAGCGCCCTCTGTCCCCACCCAATCTCAGCGCCCTCTGTCCCCACCCAATCTCAGCGCCCTCTGTCCCCACCCAATCTCAGCGCCCTCTGTCCCCACCCAATCTCAGCGCCCTCTGTCCCCACCCAATCTCAGCGCCCTCTGTCCCCACCCAATCTCAGCGCCCTCTGTCCCCACCCAATCTCAGCGCCCTCTGTCCCCACCCAATCTCAGCGCCCTCTGTCCCCACCCAATCTCAGCGCCCTCTGTCCCCACCCAATCTCAGCGCCCTCTGTCCCCACCCAATTTCAGCGCCCTCTGTCCCCACCCAATCTCAGCGCCGGCCCTGTCTCTGTCCCCACCCAATCTCAGCGACCAGCCTGGCCTGGCCACTCTTCTGGGCAGGCTCCAGGGAGCCCTGGGGAGGCAGGGGGCTTCCACACCCCCACAGCCCGCTCATCCCCCTGCCCCCCCCTCCGCAGCGCATGTGCGGAAGTTGGACTCCTTCCCCCACAAGAGTGCCCGGCCCCCCATGCCCATCTTGGAGGCCCCTGGGCTCCCTGGAGAAGGGGGAAATGGTGGTTCCCGCCCTGAGGACAGAGGTACTGGCTCCCCCTCCCCCAGTGTCCTGGGGCTGGCTGGGTGGGGAGACACAGGACCTGCCTGGCTTCCTGGAGTCCTCAAAGCGGCCCCTCCCCCATTCTCCCAGGAAGTCTGAGCTCAGGGCCACCGCTGCCCTTCCATCCCCTCTCCTTCTCTCCTGCGCCCTCCCACCTCCTCGGGCTGGGGCTGTGGCACCTGATGGCTCAGATGCTGAGGTGGACGGAGAGGCTGATTGAGGGACTGAGCAGACAGAGCTCGGAGCCTCAATGGGGAGAATGGGGAGGGTTGGGGGAAACAGCACGTCACTGTGGGTGGGGGAGAGGGAAGGGGAGGGGGCACTGCCTGTGGAGGGGCCCTGCCTGTGGGAAGCCCTGCCCACCAGGGCCCAGACCAGGCTGGCAGGCGCTCTCATGAAGACCCCACCCCATGCCTCCCCCACCAGCCCCACCTCACCCTGAACTTCAGCCACTGAGCCCACAATCGGGGCCTGTTGGGACTCAGGGACCCCCACCCCAAGCTTTCACCCTTGCCAGGCACTCACCTTCCTCTGGGTCAGAATAGGGTCCAGAGAAAGGTAGTGTTGCCATCTGCTGCCCTGTCTCAGCCGCCCCTCCTTCTCACGTGCACCCGCAGCCCTGGCTCAGGTGGGCAGCCCTCAGCCACAGGGGAGCAAGATTCCAGGATCCTTGGGAGGAGCAGGGGGACCTGGCCTGGGGAGAGGAGGTACCGGAGGTGCGTGGGGGCTTTGGGGGAGCCTGCCTAGTGGGAGCCCAGGGAGGCCCTGCCAGGGGCTGCACTCAGAGAGGGGGGCAGTGTGCACCAGGGAGGACACCTGGGCCAGGCAGGCGCAGTGGGGGCCCAGGGAGCACTGGCCGAGGGGCAGGGTCCTGCAGAGGGCTCCCCTTGTTTCTGCCCTGCTCACGGCCCGGATGGGCTCGCCGGACAGTGGGGCTGGGCGGGCTGACCGGGGTCAGCTGTCCCTTGCACCCCCAGACCTGCCGGTCTCCTCTCCCCTCCTGCCAGGCCGTTCTCCCTGCTGCCTGGAGTGACCTGCACCTCTTCCCTGGAGTCTCAGAGGAGCCGGAGAGTGTGGGAGGAGCTGGAGGCGGGCGGATGGGCAGCGAGGGCGGCACCTCTCCTCTGTACCCTTCCCTCCGCCCCATAAACCTCATCATGGAGTCAGACTCCCACCTTCAATCCCACAGTCTCCCTGCTGCCTTGGGGCTCCCCACCTGAGCCTCCAGAGCTCAGTGCTGCCAGGCCAGGGCCCTCAGTCTAAGCCACACGCTGGGTCACTGGGTGGGGGTGGGCTTTAAAAACAGCGCCCAGCCCACCCTCAGAGGCCCATGTGTCTCAGCCCCGCCCCCGCAGCCTCCCGTCCACGCCTGCTCCCCTGGGACTCTCATCGCTGTGGGCCTGGCCGATTCCACACCAAGTCCTTTCCTAACCACCAGCAGGATCTGGGGTGGGGGTTCCTTCATGTACAGTGGCCAAGGGCTTCTATGGAGACAGTGGAGCAGAGGCAGGAGCCCAGCAGGGCGTGAAGGTGGTAGGAGGCTCCAGCAGGGGTGCAGCCCTGAGAGGCCGGAGGCTGGGCCAGCCAGGCGGGACCCGGCATGGCAGGAGGGCTGAGCCCAGGGCTCGGGGAGGTCTGGGTTCTTCCGAGGAGCACTGGGGGCCACGGGCTCCTGAGCGGGAGCTGCTGTGACCGCCTGAGAGCCAGCTTGGGGACCTCACCTGCTGTCCACTGAGATGGAGCTGGCTGGGCTGTGGGGAGGCAGGTTTGGGGCTGGCTGCTGGTTTGGGGGGGGGGGAGCAAGAACAGCCCTGGGCCGGAGAGCGGGTTCCAGGTGCCTCCAGTAGCCAGGTGTTGAAGAGCAGGTGGGTGGGTTGGTGAGTCTGGTGTTCACGGGGGCAGAAGTGTGGGCACCACCATCTGGGAGGCGAGTGGAAGCCAGGGGTTGGCTTCCCTGGGGGTGAAGGCAGCCTGGCTCGTCCCAGGACTGAGTCCCAGGCTCATCTCCGAGGCCGGAGGGTGTGGGTGCAGAGACCACCTGTTGGGACGCTCCAGAGAGAGCAAGGCCAGAAGACCCTGGGCCAGTGGGGTGTTTGGTCAAGGAGCCAGCAAGTGAGGAGGACACCTCTTTTTATTTAATCACCTGAGGATATTTTTTGCATTGCTTTTCAGAGAGAGTAGAAGGGAAGGAAGGGGGGGCGGAGAGAGACATCGATTGGTTCCCTCTCTCACGCCCTGGACTGGGGTTGGGGGTCGAACCTGCAACCCAGGTACATGCCCTTGACCAGGAATTGAACCCGAGACCCTTTGGTGCTGGGACTGATGCTCTAACCACTGGGGACACTGGCCAGGGCTGGAGATGCCTCTTGGTCACCACGGGGATGAGCTACCATCCTGGGAACGAGGCTGGAGTGGGCGGAGGACCTCTGCTGCCGCCCCGGGCACAGGATCCCCACCTGCTGGCCCAAATGGAGTACGGCCTGGGCTGAGAAAGACACGAGCCTGCCTGCCTCTCGACCCTCAACCTGAGCTGTGGGCTGCTGCACAGGGGTCCATGTGAAGCCAACACAGCACAAACCTGCACATGCACACACACTTTCCCATACACACCCGCCGCTGCTAACACGCACACGTGTGCACACGCCTCACACGCCTCACCGTGCGCAGTGCTCCTGTAAGGTCAGGGAGAGGACTTCCGGGGAAGGTGTGACACCTGGGAGCTGAGCAGGAGAGGAGGCCGGTCCCCACGGCCCCGAACCGAACACTGCGGGTCTTCGCGGAGGAGGGTGGGCATTAACGGCGTGAACACGTCAGGAACAGGCAGCGGGAACGTGTGCAGAGAACACACCGGGAGAGCACCAGCAGGGCGGGCGGGGCAACCAGGACCCAGGGACGCAGCGGAAGGTCAGGCAGGGCCGCCCGGAGGCGCAGAGGACCCAGAACGACCCAGGCCGCGGCTCCCTGGTTAGGGAGGCCAGCGAGCGCGGTGGGAGTGCTGAAAAGTGGTTTTTTTAAGATTTGAGAATTAGAGGAAGTTTATGGTCTCAGATCAAAAGGCTCAGAATGCCAAACATGGTTGATTTTTTAAATGTAGATTCATTCACACGAAGCATACGACAGGAAACCGTCTTTAAACGCCCACAGAGTGAGAGCCACTGGGCGGCAGAGGTGGGTGGGAGGCAATGACCTCCATGTGTTGAAGGAAAAGCGCACAGATTTACCCCATAAAATCCTCACTGAGTGAACAGGCCCCGAGTCTAAGGAGCGGCACGAGGCGGACCCTGTGGGAAGCAAGGTGCATTCCGCAGGAAGGACGGACGGACGGAGTCACAGTGACCCGACACACAGGAAGTGCAGGGCTGCTCGAAGAGCCTTGCCCTCCGCAGACCCAGACCGTCGCCTGCAGCAGCCTAGAATTCTAGATTGTTCCCGGGCCGCAGGACCCTGAGCGCAGGCGCTAGTTCTGTTGGGGGCCTGTGAGGGTCTCTGTCAACTCCTGCAGCTCTGGAGAAGCACAGGCTCTGGCCGCAGGTCCGAGCAGCCTCGGGGGAAGCGCACTCCTGTGCGGGGCCTGTGGGCCAGGCAGGGGCAAGCTGCTCCACGTGCAGAGGTCACGGCACATCTGACCCGGGAGGTGAGCTCTCCCTGCGTCAGAAGACAGGACACGCTTCCTGCTCCGGTGGCCAGAGGAACCAGGGAGCAGGAGATCAGGGGCCACGTTGCCAGGCATCTTACTGGGGAAGGACCGTGTTTTCAACAAATGGTTCGAAACTGCTAGAGGTTCGAATCAGAAACATTGATGCTCTGCCCTTGTCTACACCAGGCACAAAACTTAATTAGAAAAACATGGTAGCCCTGGCTAGCGTGCTCAGTGGTTAGAGCATCAGCCTGCAAACCAAAGGGTCTCAGGTTCGATTCCCGGTCAAGGGCAGGTTTGATCCCTGGCCCCAGTCAGGGTGCATGTGAAAAGCAACCAATGGATGTGTCTCTCTCACATCATTGCTCTCTCTTCTACCCCCATCCTTTCCACTTTCTCTCTAAAAAAAAAATCAACGGGGTGAGGATTAACAAAAAAAGAAAAACACGGTAACCCTAAAGACGAGAAAGCTGTAAGCATTCTAGGTGACAGAAGGCAGGGGAGGGGCGCATTCCTAAGCCCAGGGCGGCCAGGAGCTCTCACACAGGATCCATAAAGCAGCAGCCACAGAAAGAAAAACGAAGACATGGCCCCTCATCAGAATGAAAAGCTTTTCTGGGAAAGATGCGGTTGGTGAAAAGTATCATCACGCGCAGGGAAGGAAGTCTCCCACAGGAGGACGGACAAAAGCCTTGGGCCCCGAGCACACAGGTGACGCACACCCTCTAAAAGCCACGTGACCAATAATGTGCAAACGTCCAGCCAACGCCAACTGCAGAGCTTCTGTGGGGAGCGGGTGTCCACTTGGGAAGGCTCGGCATCCCGTGACCAATGACCCCACACAGGTGTGTACCTGGGAGTGCTCTGGGCCCCATCATGACTTCTTTTTTTTCTTCCATTGATTTTAGAGAGAGTGGAAGGAGGGAGGGAAGAGGAGAAAGATAAACATGGATGTGAGAGAAACACATCAACTGGTTGCCTCCCACACGCACCCGACGGGCCAAGGATTGAACCTGCAACCGAGGTACACGCCCTTGACCAGAATCAAACCTGCTAACCTTGGGTGCGCGGGCCAACGCTCTAACAACTGAGCAACACGGGCCAGGGCCATCATGACTTACAAAGGAGACCGGGGGATGTCCCGAAGGGGCCAATGCCGTTGAGAAGAGAATCCATTACTTAATTTCCGGAGAGAAGGGGTATGTCACACTGTGTGGGGAGCACGGACCTTGGTCGGGAGACAGAGGGGGCGAGGGAGGGCCAGGCAGGGCAGGCACAAAGCTCAGGAGTGACGAGCTAGGACATCCCCGCGGGCCTCCGGGCCCTGGGCAGTCCCTCCTTGTCTGGGCCTCAGCGATCGAGGAGGGGAAACACTGGCCCGGTGTGTGAGTGAGATGAGGGACATAAGGACATGAGGCATGAGGACATCCCCGAAGACCTCACAGCATGTCACAGCGCCTGAGTCGTGACGGCGAAACCCGGAGACCACGTTCTTCAAGGGGGACGAGACAGCGAGCTCCGCTGATTCAGGCGAAGAACTCTGCTCACAGTTGAAACAGGACTGTCCGAGGACGAGACAGGACTGTCCGAGGACGAGACAGGACTGTCCGAGGACGAGACAGGACTGTCCGAGGACGAGACAGGACCAGTGAGTCTCAACACACTAGGAGGGAGGCAGCAATGGAGGCCCGACCCCAAGTTCAGGAGCAGGAGCCGGCTGATGGAGAAGCCCAGGCTGGGGGCCAGGAGGGGACTGCCTGAGGGGCAGGGGGAGGGTGGCGTCTTGTGTGTGGAATGGCGCCCTAGGTCCTTGGTGTCAAATTTTAGTAAAACTCACTCGAGGGCTTAGATCATGAGTTTTCCCTATTAAATTTACATTAAAGAAACCACACTGGAGGCAGACGGAGGCTGGGTTACTTTGCTGTGGTGGGAATATGACCACTTGGTTATTTCTGTGCATTTCCTGACACTTTTTTCCAGTTCCGGAAGCTTCGTACGAGGTCTCCCTGGTGACCCAGAAAAACATCTCAGTGGGCCCGGCGCCTGGCTGCTCCTGGCAGATGCCCGCGCATCTGGTGGCCAAATCTGCTTATGTAAGGACCGAGGTGCTTACATCTGAAATCCACCTCCCTGATGCCCCGGGGCTGGTGTCCCCGCTCAGCCTCGCTTGTCCTGGGTGAGCGGCCCCAGCGCCTGGGACTGATGCCGACGCCCCCAGGAAGCAGGTGCAGAGCAGAGCTGGGCAGCAGGCCCCCCGTGGCCCAGGGGCCGGGAGGAGAGGACACAGGGGTCTGCACCCTCTCGGGCACGAGGACCCCTGGGCCCAGGTCAGGTCCCGTCTCAGTGCCTGGGCGAGGGGTGCAGCCCCTCCAGCTCCTGCACGGCACCGCTGCCTGGCTGCGACCAGGGAGTCTGACCTCTGCCACAACGAGGTCCACTCGACTCCAAACTTCACTGAATTGTTCACTCACTTCTCCCAAGTCCCTGGTGACCCAGGCACTGGCCAGGCGGGACACCTTGCCCGTGGCTGCCATGCCCGTGGCTGCCCTGTGGAAGGGACTTTGACCATGGACAGCAGGAACAGCTTCCTCCTCCTGCCTCCACCCAATGTCACTCCCTGGGAGGGGACACGGTGTCCTTGCCACCTCCACTTGGAGACTGAGGATTCCAAATCATCACAGCACGCAGGGCCATGGTGCCCAGGTCAGGGAGACATGGGGTGGCACCCAGCATTCTGCCCTGGGGGTGATCCTAGGCCCCCAGGACCGTCCCTCCGGGGCATCCCCTACACCTCTGGCCAGAGGGCCCTTGCATTGTGGGTGAGAGAGGCCCTTTGGCTGAACTGGCCTCCCACAGATGAGTCCAAGGGCAGGAGGCCTGTGGAGGTTCCCCTCGGCCTCCTCAGGGCCCCACCCCAGCGCCACACTCCGAGGGCCCGGAGCAGGCCCTGGGCGAGCTGTCCTCACAAACTCCCAGTGCCCACGGTGACCTATGACCCTTGCAAAGAGCTTGCCCGGGAGCCCCCAGGACCCTTGGAAGGCAATCATCTGAACTCCCCAAGCCCAAAGGTCCCTCCCTCATGGGGTCCTGCCCCCCAATCTCTTCCAAGTGGGACCAGGTTTAACAGCTCCACTCCCCAAGGACCCCTGGGCACAAAACTTAGGTTTTCACAAATTCATCAAAACAAATCAAAAAGCCCTGGCCGGTTTGGCTCAGTAGACAGAGTGTCGGTCTGCAGACTAAAGGGTCCAGGGTTCGATTCCGGTCAAGGGCACATGCCCGGGTTGCAGGCTCCATCCCCAGTGGGGGGTGTGCAGGAGGCAGCCAGTTAATGATTCTCTCTCATCATTGATGTTTCTCTCTCTCTCTCCCTCTACCTTCCTCTCTGAAATCAATAAAAATATATTTTAAAAATAAAATAAATAAAACCCCTGCTTAGGCCCACCCGGCAAGTGAGACTCGCATGGTTGTGACTGGCCTCTGTGGGGTCAAAGAGAGCAGGCCCGAGGACCAAGGGTAGGGGTGGCGTCCCCACGCTCGGGGATGGACAGGCAGGGGCCTCGGGATCCCACAGGGAGGAGGGGACAGGGGCTGAGAGGGGCTGAGGGCTTGGCCCCAGGACGTGGGGACGGCTGGGACCTGTGAGGAGAGAGCAGCCATGCTCGGGGTGCACTTCAGTGGCTCAGGCAGCGATGCCACCTGCAGTGAGAACAAGCCTTTCCCAGCGGGCTGCCTCCTGGGCAGGTCCCAGCCGCCGGAGCCGCACCGGCTTCCCCAGGAGGAGCAGACAGAAGGTGGGGGACAATCTTGCAGGCGGCGTGGCCCCGTACATTTTCTGCTCTGATTTTTAAAGTAATCCGTACAGTGCTTTGGCCCCTAGATCATGCCGGCCAGCCAGGGCGGCAGGAAGAGGCCGGCGGTCCCCAGCAGGCAGACGATGACGAACACCCAGAGGAAGATGCGATCGATGACCATGGCCACGTACTTCCAGTCCTCCTTCACCTGCAACACAGACATGCACCTCACAGGCAGCAAGAACCTCTGGAACCCGGCACTTTGCGTGACAGGTTCTGTTTCCATCCTCGCCACCGAGCCCGCCAGGGCCGCAGGCACACCTGCTGGGGGGCCGAGTGGGGCGGGTGCAGAGAAGCCACATGTCCGCTGAAGTCGGGTTCAGAGGGGGCAACACCCTCGAACTGAACATCCCGGCTGCCGTGGGGGACGGGTCTGGTGGTCTTTGGAGGAACACCAGGGTCCAGGCTGCTTCACAATGGAATTTGCTCCAGGTTTGCTAAAGCTGAGGGGGTGCCATGGAGGCCATCCAGTGCACCCCCATTTTTCAAATGGACCAACTGAGCTCAGAAAGGGCCACTGGCACCCCCTGGCCGCAGGACAAGGGCCAGGAGCACCCTGGGTGACAAGGCCTGACCTCTAACAGGAGCCCCCAGGGGCCTAGTGTCTGAGTGACAGCTGAGGCCTGACTGCCCTCTCCTCCTGGGCGGGTGCTCAGGGGTCAGCTGCCCAGGGGGCCCGAGGCCCCTCAGGGATCAATGGAGTCTCTCAGCTCTGTCCCTTAAGCCCGAGGGGGTGGGGCACAGCCAGGTGCTGTGAGCAGAAGGAGGAGGGAGGGGCCAGGGCTCAGGGGGAATCCCAAATGCTGAGGCCAGCGGGCGGCCATGGACGCAAACACGCAAGCATGCCAAGCACGTCGCCTGCGTGAGGGGCCGGTGAGGAAGGAGGCAGTATTGTCTTGTCTAGATGGGGACACTGAGGCACAGAGTGGCTATGGAGAGGGGAGCAGACCCCAGCCCTCACCCCACCTTTGGCCTTTGCCTTACAGCGGGTCCCGGGTGGGCGGCCTGCTGGCGCCTGAGGGACTGGGAGGAAGCAGCGTCAGGGCATCGTGGGTCAGACAGCCCGGGGCGAAGGCGGGGCTCAGTGCCCGTCTTGGAGCGTCGAGGAAAAATGGGTTCTTCGTTGCCATTTTCTGCTCTGATTTTTAAAGTAATCCTGACAGTTTTAAACCAAACCTAAACGGAACTGTTTATTCACAGGAAACCTGAGCGCACACAGGGTCACTTATAAATAACAAGCCCGCCAGGGACCCTGCTGCGTGGAGGCACGCTGTTCCCTGCCTTTCGCCCACTGTTGCCCTGTCCTGAGGATGAAAGGCCAGCGCAGACCAAAGCCACCAAGGCCTGCCGGTCGCTCAGGCGACTAGTGAAGTCATGTCATTCCCCAGAGCCAGTGACGCAGGGAGCGCACTGCGGACGGACACAGGGCAGCTGACCAGCCACAGAGGGGCCAGCGGCCCCTCCCGTCGGCTCCTCGGTCCTGAAGCCCAGAGGGGTGTCCCTGAGATCTGCTCCACAAAGCTACTCTGGGCCACCTGCCCCAGCTCCACCCCAGGGACCTGGCCAGCCTGAGGGCTCAGGGAGGAGGGAGCAGGCCAGGGTGGGGGCTTGGCGGCTGCATGCCCAGAGCTGTTTCCTGATTTTGTCACCAATCACTCCCTCCTTCAGTGTCTGCTCGTCCCACAAGGGCCAGGGGCACCTCCCGGTGCACGGGGGCAGGGCCTTACCGAGAAGTCGGCGTCTTCCGCCTTCAAGCGGGCTGCAATGTGCTGGACGTCCTCGGC